TTTTTATTTATTGAAGTTAAACTATTGAAGTTAATTTTTATTTATTGAAGTTAAATTCTGATTGCAATAATGTATCATTTGATTGGTGAATTCTTCACATATACTTTTCTGATTACTATTACAATAACCATTTACTATCATAGTAATAACAGCAACAACAACGAATACTATGATTATTCGATTATTATTACAATTAAAACAATGAAACAAATGCTATAACAATAACTATTATTGCACTTACATTAACAACATTAATTGTTGGTGCAATTTTCAAAAACAACAATTATTATTGTTACATTACTGGTGTGAAAGAAAAAAAAAAACAATCTCAACACTTCTTTTTTTTGTTTCTTAAAGAATTTGAACGTCAATTGAGAAATTTGTTGAAACAGCTGATAGTTGAACAAGAAATATATGATGTATTATCATCATTATCATCTTGCTCTTATCACTAAAAATAACTTTTCTCATCCTCTTTAATCCCTTCTTTTTTTGTTAGTTTTTTTTTCAAACGTTTCTTCCATCCATTTTCCCACATTTAAAACATTTATGCTTAACATCAAATATTTGTGATATTGAAGTTAAAATTTCTTTTTTTCTCTTCTCATTTAAAAAAAAAAAACTTTCATTAATTAACTCCAACACCTGGAATTCCTACTTCTTTAAATTTTCATCTTCCATTAATTGGAAACTTGCATTGAAATATCAATTATAACTAAATTGCGTTAAGATATACAATTTCATTATTCTTAATACTATTTCCTCGTTTTTTTTTGCATTCAACTTTTTTTATAAGTTTGATTTTTTTTTTTTGATTGCATTAATTGGCAGAATGTACAGTAATCACATTTGTCGTAATTGGTTTATAATAAACATTTGATTTCACCAATTTTAATACTAATTTTTTTTTGGCTTCATCATTTTTTATAATTTAAAATTATTTCATTTTCATTTTATTTTAATGAAAAGATATATAACAGCATATTGATTAGTTGTCAAATAACTAAGCAATTTTTATTATGCAAATTAAATATTTATCCATTTAAAATTAATAATAATAATTATTAATTAAATATGATAATGTAGATATTAATTAGTATTATGAATTAGAATATCCTATAAAATTTATGGTTATTTACATGAAAATAATAAATGAATTATTTTTTTCTTTCTGTTTTCTTCTCAGAATTAATTTTATAGTTTGTTTGCTTTTCTTACATATTACAAAATATTTTAATAATATGATTGATTGGGGGAAAGGAAGAAAATGGTTTTGTCCTTTTGTTTCGTCATTCTTTTGGAAAAAGTTTAAAACAACTTCTACACCATTTCTCTCTCTCTCTCTCTCTCTCAGTTTCTTTCCGCTTCTCTCTGTGTATTTTTTCTTCTTCAAAAATATTTTCTCTAATAAATTTGCTTATTTTAAAATAAAATTTCACTGTAAGAATTTGTAAATTCAAAAAAAATTAATTTTATCGAAACTGTTTCATAGATGCCATCGTTGAAAGAATTCTTCGAAAGTAATGTACATCGATTACAACGACGAATTGGTGGTGAAACATTAATTTTATCATTGAAAAAGAAAAAATCAACAACAATTTATGCTGAAAATCCTTATCAATTTACTGATGAAATTTGGTACTGTTTTGTTTTCTTATCATTTAATTATCTTTTCTGTATTGTAGAATACAAATTATTGATTGATTAAATTTTATTTAAACATTATTATTATGCGTAATTTTAACATATAAAATGTTAATTTTATTAGTTCTTTTCCTTTTTTTTTTAGTTTTTCGTTATCAAAATTTAATTTAACTTATTCGAAATGAAAAAAAAAGCACAATTTTTAATTTTTTAATTTTAAAGGAATGCTATATTTGTTGAATGTTCACCATTTGATTTATATTCATGGCGTCGGGTTAATAAAAATTTCAAACGTTTAATTGACAGTCGTTTCAATAATATCCTTTATTTGTATGCTGATCGAAGGAATATTGCATCATTGTTAGGCCAAGAAGGTAGCAGTGATGGTTAGTAATAATTATAATTTTTAATTAAGTCTTAATCTAATTATTTGTCAAATCAAAATCTAAAAATTTTACAGATGCTAAAGAAAAAATATGCAAACATTTTGCTTTCACTTATTATCATAACGATTTTATATTCAATAACGAAATAATTATTGTGCTGTAAAACTTTAATTTATTTAAAAATTTGGCTTTTTAAATTTGTGAAATTTGAAAAAAAAGAACATTTTTCTTTGATCCGAATTATTTATTGCAATTTTTACGAATTATACGTAATTATCAAATAAAATTGATTCCATTAATTTTCCATTTCTGTTTGGTTAATTGATTTAAATTTTAAAATACTGTATTTAGGTAATTTTTATCGTCATCGTAGTGCGCAAATATTACTATGTTTGGACACTTATAGTGCTATGTTTATTGTTCATGAAAGATGGACACCAAAAGATATTAGCAAATTATTTCAAGCAATACAACTATTAGCACCATCGATTCGAAATGTTTCGGTAAATATATAAAATTAATTTTGCAATTTTATCATAAAATTACTTTTTTAAAATTAGTATTTATTATCATTATTATTATTTTTATAATAATAATTATTATTATCAGCTTGATATGGGAATCGTTGAATTGATCACAGCTGGCTTATCAAGTATGGATTTTAATCGATGGCATTCTTTTCAATGTTATTTAAAAACATTAGATGGACAAGCTGCTGAAGATTCCGTACATATACAATGTATACCATCTACTTATCAAAGGACATTCTTTCCAAATGTTACTGAGGTTGTAATTTTATTAATTAATTAAGTAATTAATTCATTCGTTT